TCATGCGTTGCCGGGTCGCGGGGGCAGCAGTCTAAGCAGAGACGCCCAGACTTGCCTATCCACACACACTTCCTCCAGCTCATCCAGGGGGGACCACAAGACGTTCCCAGGCCAGCTGAGAGACATAGTCCCTCCAGCGTGTCCTGGGTCTTCCCCAAAGTCTCCTCCCGGAGGGGTCCAGAGGCATCAGGAACAGATGCCCGAGCCATCTCAACTTGTTCCAGAAGCAGCGGCTCTACTCCGAGCTCCTCTCGTCTGACTGAGCTCCTCACCCTATCTCTAAGGGAGCGCCCAGCCCCTTTGTGGAGGAAGCTATTTCGAAAGCTTCTATCCGCGATCCCATTCTTTTGGTCATTACCCAAAGCTCATGACCATAGGTGAGGGAGGGAACGAAGAATGACCGGTAAATCGAGAGCTTTGCCTTTCGGCTCAGCTCCCTCTTCACCACAACGGTCCGATACAGCGACCGCATCACTGCACACGCTGCACCGATCCGCCTGTCAATCTCACACTCCATTCTTCCCTCACTCGTGAACAAGACCCCGGGATACTTGAACTCCTCCACTTGAGGAAGGACCTCTCCACCTGAAGAGGGCAAGGCACCTTTTTCCGGGCAAACCGTCCCAGTGCATGTTGCTGGTCCTTGTTCGTTGGGGCCAACAGGACAACATTGTCCATAAAAAGCAGAGATAGAATCCTGTGGTATCCGAACCGGACCCCCCCAGCCCCTGACTGCGCCTAGAAATTTTTTCCATAAAGGTAATGAACAGAACCGGTGAAAAATGCAGTGTTGATCTTCATTAGTAAAGCAATGCATATTGTTCCATAATATATACAGTAGCTGTCATAATATAATGTTTTTAAACTCCAATTCTATTCCATTCAAAATTACCGAGATTAAATCAAGAATAATGAATGTGTCTACATTAGTCGTCAACAGCCCACAGGTGTCCTATAGAAAAGCATTTTTGGATTGAAATTGTCCATTGAATGACCTTCACTTTAAAAAAACACCAACAGAGTTCTTAAATGAGCAAAAATGCATCAGAGAACTGCTCTACCACGGATTAAGACAAGCACTGCATGTGCCCGAGTGCTCAAGTCTTCACTCTGTTTTTTTTAACAGAAAAATGCATTGAAAGGTTTTCCTTTGGTCATCTTTAACAAACGGCCAGGAAGTCTCCATTGTTATCATTATTTTCAGACCTCACTCTTCCAATAAAATTAAAAATGACCTTGATGAAAGCGGACATGATAAATTGCCATGGAAATGTGTGCCTTTTGAGCTTACATCCAATATTTCTAATTTTACCCAGGGCCTCGGCACATTGTGCCGGTGCCCCCACAGTCTGAAGCAAAGCATTGGCGTTACATAAAGGCGTCCTTATGAAGTGTACTGTCAGTACAGAGGGAGGGCCATTCATCTGTTCTGTGTTTAGCTTTATCAAAGTCATGCATGGGTAAGAGTATGCAATCGCTCATTCGCTGCACAAAAGACGCAAGCATTGGGAATGTGCAGGGACCACATCAAATGGGTCGTCTGCATGCGGAGATAGAGACGTAGGGATTTGTTTGTGTGAATAAATACATTCTGAAGACAGAAAATAGCGCAGTAGGGGGGACCAGAGGTGGAGAGTTTTAAGGTCAGGAGCTTTTGTCGTCATTTCATTCATTCATGTTTCACTGACCAAGAAAATTGTCATCCAAATTCTTCCGTTTGTGTTATATTCAATTCAGAGAATCAAACAGGACATGCTAATAATAGCAAACACACAGCCAGCCAATGACCAATGTCCATAGCTGTTATTGTCTTATAGTCTTGGATCATCACCTTCTAACGGTGTGTAATTATTTTAGGAGTTTTTCTGACCTAAGAACTGAGACTGCAGTCTCCTTGTCATGAAAAGCCTGCTGCATACAGCTGTAGGCGCTTTCATCTCCGACACATTGATAGCATGTCATCAACTGACAGTTCCACAATTCACACGTGCAACCTGGTGGTTGTTTTTTATATTCGGAGCAGGTTGAAGTCCAGCGCCTTTGAGCGGGCCCTGAAGGCAACACGCTTCATATGAAATCACAAAACATTCACATATGACACAAGTGTTGTTTCCTCTAGTCCGAGGGTGGACAGTGGGATGGACACAGCACAGGTGAGTCCACAGGCAGGTTTGGAACGTTTTATTATATAAAAAACTATGTCCTGAGGAACTGAATGTTTCCTGTATATTCACATTTATCAACGTTTAAGGACATTGGTCATCTGCCCTTTGTGGACCAATGGCTCGCTGGGGTGTTTTTTTAATCATTGCATTTCTTGTGTTTGAACTGTTTGATTCTGATCTGGTACAATTTACACTGACTGAGGACAAATGAGTGAGTAGAGGTACAAACTCATTCTGCCTCAATGATAATTATTCCTCTGAACAAAGATGTGCTTATCATTTTGAAGATAGTGTTTCTCATTCCTGCTAGCTGCTCAGAGTGGATTGACAATTGATGGACTTCTCACCACAATGGGTCTGAGTCTGAAATTAGCGTCAGGTGAAAGAAACCCTTCAGTGATTTCCACACAAATACGCCTTCACGACCTTCACATTAAATGAAACCTCCATTTGTCAGATGCGCCTGAGAGGATGTGCTTTCTAACAGACAAAGCAGCGCATATAACAGGATCGAAGGCCAGAGTAAACAGAGTAGAGCTTCTCCTACACATATTAACCTCAGAGGATGAGAGAGCGAGGTAGTGACCTTTGTAAAGAGACAGGGGCACCCAACATATTGGACTGGCACTGGTTAAAAGAACAAACTGTGGAATAGCAAAGGTCTAAGAGTAAACTCATCGACATTCCTTATGTTTAGCTAAAAACGGCACTGCACAGTTGATTCTAATTCCACTAAGAAGCCACAATCGTACTTTGTCAGATGTAAATGAGTTCAATTGGATATAAATCAAGTGATTTCTTTGTTTCTCCACTTTGAGCAGATGGTTCCCAGTTTATTGTTTGTGTGGACTTGCTAAGTCTTCCTCTAATCCACATAAAGTCATGGTCTACAATCGGTTGTGTATAGGTTGTAATCGGTTCAGTCACCCTCTTGATGCGATCAGTCAAAAAGTGTGAACACAGCCTATAGCAGTAACATTCTCACAAACAGTTATTACGCAGTAGTCGACAGCTAGAGAAAATATGAGTCAGATATTTTGTGTCCATTTGTGGTTGCTATGTGAGCATTTAATGAAGTTATTGAAGTGAGGTTATCCCATATTGACAGATTAGACATAGCCCTAGCCCCACATATGCCAATTACAGTGAATCCAGCATCACGTCTGACAGCTGCCTCCCGATCAGTGCCTGTTATATGGAACTGTAATCTGCATTTACAGCCTGACCTTCGCTTGGCCCGTCTCAGATATGATTTGTAATCTTGTACATCAGCAGAAACAGGACGGACAGGTACGGTCCTCTGGGACACCAGTGTGATTCACTGATACAGACAAGACAAATAACTTGGCCTCCGATTAATCAACCCTTTGGTCCACTTGCACTTGTACTTGAGAGTCCACGGACAAGTGACAGCTGGAAGTCTGCCCCTGAGCCTCTGCACACAAAAGGACTGTTATTATTTGAGCCCCCCATCGAGCTGCTTTTCTATTGTAAGACTACACTCTTTTCATTTGACCTGACAAGTATAATTGTCCGACATTGGTCTCCCACACTGTGATGTTTGGAAAGCTTATAAAAGACTTCTTTCATTGATCTGAAGATGCGGTAAGAGGCCTGGTTGTTGTTCATGCAGCCATAATCACAAATGAGCCCTTTGAAATGGACTATTGCCAAACAATAGCAGCCAGGAAACGAGTCAACTGTACAATAAGGCGTAATGGTTTTATCATTGCTGCATATTCTGTGGCTTGAGTGAGATAGCAATAGAGCAGCTGGGAATCACTAAACGTAACCGAAATAACTGAAGCGAGATGTTTTTTGTGCAACTACAATATAAATTTCACAAATTACATAGAGATCAGTATTATCATGTGACCAGCTCCTACTTCTGTCCCTAAATGGATGTTCTCCTGAGACCACCACAATGCGGATTTACGCTTCTAATGACCTGGGGTAATTCAATTGAGATCGATCAGTAAAATCGACTAATGAGTTAGAACCTGCACAGGCCGGCACTGTGGTTAATCAAAGAGGCTTTGCTGTGACTGTATTAGGCTTGTGTCTATAGGCCCATATCACCTGCTCCCATCACATAACTCACTGTGATTGGCTGAGAGGGGGTGGTGCTACTTCCTTCCATTGAAAAAGAATTGTGATCCTCTCTCTTCCACTCACAAGCACAAGCAGAAGATGTATGGCGCCTGCACTAATGTATTCATAGAGAAAAGATGGAGAAATTGGTCTTGAGACATGATAAAGCGCCGGCCAAGGTCTGTTTGATTAATTATGATGAAGCTATGCAAATACTGCCTGCAGCTGGATCCAGAACTAGCGCTGTTCAATCAGAGTGCTGGGGACGACTAGCACTGCACCGCTAATGAATCCATCCATTATGACAATTTAATAAAGCATTACAATCTTTATTAAGATGTAATCTGCAGAACACTTTCAGACCGGAAAGCTTTTAAAACAAAATTTGTTAAAGTCTGTCTCACACTGACACATAACTCACTATAGTGCAATGAATCACACTTGGATACTCATATGTGTGCTTTCAGATAAATACATAAAAAAACATAAATACAGTATAAGTAATGCATGAAATATTATAACTTATATTAAGTAAAATGCATTATACAAAATGCCTACACATGGGCTGCTCAGACTACAGTCATACAGTAACATAAAGCCTTTATATTTAGAGCCTTCAGCCTCCAGCCTTCTGAACCCTGAGGACCCAGCCTTCTGAACCCTGAGGACCGAGCCTTAAGAACCCAGAGGACCCAGCCTTAAGAACCCTGAGGACCGAGCCTTCTGAACCCTGAGGACCCAGCCTTAAGAACCCTGCGGACCGAGCCTTCTGAACCCTGAGGACCCAGCCTTCTGAATCCCGAGGACCCAGCCTTCTGAATCCCGAGGACCCAGTCTTCTGAATCTTGAGGACCCAGCCTTCTGAACCCTGAAGACCCAGCCTTCTGAACCCTGAGGACCGAGCCTTCTGAACCCTGAGGACCGAGCCTTCTGAACCCTGAGGACCCAGCCTTCTGAACCCTGAGGACCCAGCCTTCTGAACCCTGAGGACCGATCCTTCTGAACCCTGAGGACCGAGCCTTCTGAACCCTGAGGACCCAGCCTTCTGAACCCAGAGGACCCTTCTGAACCCTGAGGACCCAGCCTTCTGAACCCTGAGGACTCAGCCTTCTGAACCCTGAGGACCCAGCCTTCTGAACCCTGAGGACCCAGCTTTCTGAACCCTGAGGACCGAGCCTTCTGAACCCTGAGGACCGATCCTTCTGAACCCTGAGGACCGAGACTTCTGAACCCTGAGGACCGATCCTTCTGAACCCTGAGGACCCAGCCTTCTGAACCCTGAGGACCAAGCCTTTTGAACCCAGAGGACCCAGCCTTCTGAACCCTGAGGACCAGCCTTCTGAACCCTGAGGACGGGCCACTTCTGTACCCTGAGGACTCAAACCTTCTGAACCCTGAGGACAAGCTTCGGAACCTGAGGACCCAAGCCTTCTGAACCAGAGGACCAAGCCTTCTGAAAACTGGTGGACCGGGCCTTCGACCTGAGGACCCAGCCTTCTGAACCCTGAGGGACCGGGCCATCTGAACCCTGAGACTACAGCCTTCTGAACAATGAGGACTCAACCTTCTGAACCCTGAGGACCGAGCCTTCTAAACTCAATTCAGATCTATTGTTTTTGGCAAAGTATTTATTTTTTACTGTAAAAGTCAAATAAAAAGAAGAGTATAATTTCAAGACTTTTTAAAAGCAACTTGGAACTATACAGAACCCTTGTTTCATAGTTGTATTTGTCATTGGCCTGTGAAGTCATTAATATGCAATAAACAATGTACTTACTCTAGGAATGGATCGAGGCAACACAACACATTGTACAAATGCAAATCCATGTTTTTCCCTAAATACTCACATAACCATGATAATCCATTCCTTTCCAACCACAATAAGCTGTATGAATTACCAAAGGACATTATCATTGTGGAATTAATGCATTGGATCTTTCATATGTTGATGAGAGTATAAGTGCAGTGCATTGTTTTGATTCTGTTCAGTGTTCTGATGCTCTTTTCATCCTGCAGTGAATTTATCAAGGCACTCTGCTTTGACTTTACTATGCAAATAGAAAAGACACAGGATCCAACCGGGAAATAGTCTCACCTCTGGGGCTAATTCAGTATTCATTGCTTTGGGCCAGTTTGAGAGAGAAGATAAAAAGAGATGTGATGGTGTATGAACACCTTAGAACTAATGGTTTTTGTGAATAAAACATATCTAGTGGCATTTTTCTGGAAGAAGTGATCTGGGGCAATGAGAGTGATTCAAAGTATTTACACGTCCTTGGCCCCTCAGGCTCCTCTTGTGTTCTCCAAACCTCGAATCAGAAGGTAACGTCGAGTGCCCCGGTGCTTATTTTTTAATTTCAGGCCACCGAGCGACTTGCGGTGGCTCTCAAAATTACAGTCACCTCTTTGTGCTCGGTGATTTGATTGTGCTTTGAATACCAAATTTTATTTTTGTTACGTTTTGCTGCCGAACAAGAGCATCATCAATAATGAGTGGTGGCCTCAGGTCAGAGGTGCTCTGTTCAGGCAGACTTCACTCATGGATTTTAATTAGGGCAGATATTTGAAAGCATTTCTGTATTGGTGCCCTTGGTGCATTCTGGGAAAAGCAGTTTGCTAGGCATGTATTTAGTGGACAATATACTATTTGTCTGGCTGGGACTTATAAATGGCACAATGTAAAAGGCTGTTTATTAGGAACATGGACATTATTTGCAGACTAATAAGGCCATTTTATTATTTCACGAGGCGAGTGATGACTTCCATGTTTCAGGGGGAGAAGTAAATCAGTTGGTTGAGCAAACACAACTGACCTTTGAGAAGAAGGTGCGGGTTTCGAGACCACCAATGACTGTCTCCAACGACTTTCACTGGTCTGCTGTCGTTGTGTCCCTTGGGCAAGACACTTCAACCTGGGAACACATGATGCCACAGTAGGGTGGCTGCGGCTGTAAAGAGCCTAACTGCACGTTGTGTCCTTAGCAGGACACTTCACCCCTATTGCCTAGAATGTGTCTGGTGTGTGTGTGATTGGTTGCGCCCCCCCCCCCCTTTCTCGGGAGGGGCGATGGTTCTTTCTGGTGCCTCGCTTACTGTCAATGTGAAGTCAGGGCAGCTGTGGCTATAGTTGTTGTTTAATAACACCGTGTATGGAGTGAATGAAAAATGTAAATAAAGCGCATATTAAACTGATTAAGAGGCAGAGCGAATTCAAAGTTTTGGGGAGGCTCTATTGTTATTCACCACGGTTTAATATTTTTATTCTTTTTACGCATCTTCAATTCCGATTTTGACCCTGAAGACAATGCACGAAAGTCTGCAAATGGTGGGCATGGGTCTAAAATCGAAACGGTCAGGCGAAACATTTGATAAAATGCGTTTCAGATTGTACGACAAAGGCAAGTCAATTAGCGCCCCCTTGAAAATTCAAATTTTTTCATTTCGTTTGGAGGCTACAGGATTGCATATTTGGATGAGTTACTGGACTTCGGATGAGTGATAGATCTCTATGAGACGATGCATAAAAGACAGGTCTATGAACAATGTGGGACCATCAGGATTGTCGGACATGAGGGCCGATGTTTCGCCACTATTTGATTTTCTTTTGAAATTCGAACTAGTCACGGTTTTTCATCAACGTGTTCTACCACGTCATTTCCCATATCTGGATCTGGATTGAAGTTTTTCTTATACTTCAAAAAAAAGTTAGAAAATCTTCACTACGTTTTCGTCCCTAGCAATGGCAAATATGGCCTTCGGTTCTTGGCTCATTTTCGATGAGCAATGAGGGCCACAGGCCTCAGACATAACAGAGCTGAACTAAAATCTCTGTAATTATTAGGGTATGGCCGACGCAAATGCTCTCTAAAAATTCACCTCATTCGCCCATTTGAGCTCTTATTGTGCCACCTGGTCGGATAGTAGTTAGGGCACTAGTACTAGTTCGCCCGATATTGCTGTGTGTATTCTTGGACGAGAAGAGTAAATCATTACATCAACGCTAATGTTGTACTCCCATCACATTGACAAAGGGGGCGCCGTTAATGTGAATAAATGAGCTTTTGTAGGGCATATGTTTGTCCGATGAGGCTATAAAATGAATTCGTATACTGCGGAGGACCCTGTATAACAAACGATATGTTCAACACCCACAACTGGTGGAGTGCATCATGTGCCACCTACAGGCAGTTCAAGGTGTCGCTATTTTTGGCTTCGTATATCCCTGGATTTTAATAGCACAGAATTATACCATGTCATTATCACATCTGGACGAATTGAGTTATGCAATCATTCGCATAATAAGTTAGAATAAATCCTTCACACAGTGTTTAGTGCAAGTAAGCAGTTTCTGTTCTTATAGTTATATTACACTCAGTGCTACAATACCCGACATGAACCACCAGGGGGACCTTTTGACTTTAATACAATATTATAGTGAAAAGGCTGCTGTGTCTTCCTACTGGTTTGTATTGTATGGTATTGTATGTACTTTATTTGTACAGGGACAGTGTACCTTTATACACTCTTAGGGTTAATATAATTGAAACGGTTTTGTCTGTGTTAAATGTAAGTCTGTTTTGACTTGCCAGTCAGCAACATTAGGCATTTCATTTGTTTAATTTTGTGCTATTTTGTAAAACTTTGGACCTATAAATTGACTTGGTGAGCTCTAGTGTTATGTAGTGGTTTAAGCCATGGACTTGGACTTTGCTTACTGGGGTTATCTCACTGGGTCAGGCATCTAATGTTTTTGGGTTTGTTTGATGAAGACTGTTTTAGGCTCAGTTTACATTATTACTTGGGCCGGGACGCAATAAAAAAGAAATATCTAATTTATTAGAGGCTTTGTTAATTAATTATCTCAATGAATCGCATTTCAGTAGCATAATAATTATTTGACCTGTCTTTAGATACAGTGAGAAGTTATTTTCTTTCACATGGATCTTTAGTTTAAATTGATTAAGGGCGTGACTCCTACTCGCGTCCTCTTCTCCGTTACATGCTAGTGATGTGCTGAGGTGCCGGCCTTCGAGAGGTCTATGTACGAGGTAAAAAGGCGGCGTTTTTTTTGGGAGTCGTGGTTCGAGGCGTGTGTGGGTGACGTTCGAAGCTCGCTGTAGACGGCCGCACAACGTCTCGGTTCATATTGTGCTTCATTTAGTTCGGAGAGTGCAGACTTTGACAGGTGCTTTGTGATCGCGGTCTGTTACATAGACTGTTTTGGGATGTCCCGTCTGCCTCTTGTGCGTTACAGTGTGTGTGGGTGCGTACGTGTGTGTGAGTGATGTGGTGCAGTCAATGTACTTAGTATAGAGAAAAAAACTTCTATATGAAATAACTATTAAAAACGTTTCATTTGTAATTCCTCAATATATCAAGGCGCTTCAAGTGTAGTACTAATGATACAATGGATGATACATATCAACATATGCTGTGTGGCGCTGTGGTATATGCCGGACTCAGAAGCAGAATTTGTATCGTTTGTGTCCTGTACTACCCAGAATTACTTTTGTGTTGCAAAGTAAATGTATGTTTTTTATGGGAATAAATGGTTTGTTTTGTTGGCCTCAGGAGCAAGTGATACTGGGGGCATATGAGGCGAGATTCAAAGAAGTTTTAGAACATGACCTTAGGCCATCAGGCTCCTCTTGTGTTCTCCAAACCTCGAATCAGAAGGTAACGTCGAGTGCCCCGTGCATTTATACATTCACGTCACACCGAGCGACTTGTGTGGCTCTCAAATTCCAGTCACCTCTTTGTGCTCGCTGATTAGATAGAGCTTTGAAACCCAATTTTATTTTTGTTCCGTTTTGCAGCCGAACAAGGAGCAACCAAAAGAGTGGTGGCCTCGACAGAGGAGCTTTGATCCAGGCAGCTTCCTCATGGATTTCAATTAGGGCCGACTATTTTGAAAGCATTTCATTTTGGAGCCCTTGGTGCATTCCGGAAAAGCAGTTGCAGCATGTTTAGTGTACAAAATACAATATGTCTGGCTGGGCTTATAAATGGCACAATGTAAAAGGCTGTTTATTAGGAATATGGATATTATTTGCAGACTAGTAAGGCCATTTTATTATTTCACGAGGCGAGTGATGATTTCCATTTTTTAGGGGCGACAGTAACTCAGTTGGTAGAGCATTGACCTTTGAGCCAGAAGGTCGCGGGTTCGAGCCCACCACAAGACTTTCTCCACCGACTCTCACTGATGTCTGCTGTCGTTGTGTCCTTGGGCAAGACACTTAACCCCTGGGAAGACCTGATGCCACAGTGGGGCGGCTGCGGCTGTAAAGTGCCAAACTGCCGTTGTGTCCTTAGGCAAGACATTGCCTAGAATGAGTCTGGTGTGTGTGTGAATGGTTGGCGGTGGTCGGAGGGGCCGATGGCACATACTGGTTGCCACGCTTCTGTCAATGTGCCTCAGGGCAGCTGTGGCTATAGTAGTAGTTTATCACCACCGTGTATGGAGTGAATGAATAATGTAAAAAAGCGCATATAAAACTGATTAATTATTATTATTATTT